GGAGAAGTGGTGTGGAGCAGTGATGAGGTGGAGCGATGAGGAGAAGTGGTGTGGAGCGATGAGAAGCCGAGATATGTGCGCTACGGCAAAACCTTACCGGTTCGTTCTGCAACAAGACGTGAATGTTCCCCCCATGGAAGAAAATCTTTTTAATAAAAATGAAGTGCCTATAAAGGTCCTGCAGGCTAACTTTGACCATGTTAAATAAGTAGAGGCCCTTCCCAAAGTAGGTTGTCTTCACCTCTCCGGCACAAGTCGGGTCCAGACCATTTTTTTTTTTCCTTCTTCTCCTCGATGAGTAGAAAAGGATGTAAATTGTTTTGAAGTCATTCGAGAAGGAAATAATAAATTCACAAAAGTTCGAACTTTGCTTCTTCCTTTTCATCTGTACGTTTTGTATAATTCGGAACGGCTGCTGATGGGCACTCCCAATGTTCATGTCCTCCTGTGGAAAGGGTCGATCTAACCAAAAAGGGTCTTGCACGTTGTCACCACCTCTGTCCATATCACCGTAAAGGTTCACATACACATCGTCGTCAACAACGTTTTGTGAGTTCAGATCCCATTTTGGGGGGTCACTGTGGTCTCCTCCAACAAGAGTTGCCTTCCTCCTTATACCTCTCCCCTTTCTCTTTTTCGTGGGCACTTCTTCTTCACCGGAGAGTCCCCCTCCTTGTCGCAGTCGTGGGTGCAACCCAGGCATACACCCTTTTAATCGTTTGGAAGAGAATCTGAATCTCCTTCTCCTGTTGATGCCCGTGATGGGTTTCCTTCCGACGATGCGGATTTTCCTCCCTGCGGCGCTGCCTCCCCCCTTGTCATACCTGTGCAGGTAATTAACAGCCAAAGGCAAGGAGTAAAAAAGAGGCTGAAAATTTGCCTTCTTTACAAAACTGTGCTTTAACACCACAACGAGGGTATTCAAGTGACGGTTAAATCTGTACAGGATGAAATGCATACCCTTGTATACAAGCAGGACGCCACTTATTCGTTCCTTATTTTTTCTCACAAAGACACCCTTCAATATTACGAGCTTCACAACTGGTGCATTTAGCTTTGTCTCGTATATAAGATCATTTTTTTTTCTGTTCCTGTCATATGTGTATATGCTAAGATTTATATTTTTCACTAGGACAAATTCTAAGCTCTTTTCTTTCAGCAGGTTTCCGGACTCGCAGTGGTCCACTTCGCTGGGGCTTCGCAGTTGATGCACTTGAAGGTTAATCATGGTGCTTGTGGGGGGGGGGGACAGGGTGGCCACGCGGCGCCGCTATGTGCATGCAGCAACGTGCGGTGTACTTGTATGCGGCGCAGTCCAGATGAGGCAAGCTACGAAGCTGCGTTGCGCTAGGAACGCTCTTGCCGATCCTCACTACTCACAGGTGGACGCCCTACCGACTTCTAACCCGTGTGTGGCCCTTATTCGGCGGCGAAGGGGAGATAAACGAGGGGGGGGGGGATCCTCCCTGGCGGAGACACTGCATTTGGTCGCGCGCCCCTGCTCCACAGGAGACTTCACCTCCAGTCCAGCTGGGGTTATTCTTACTCTGCTATATGATACAGCACATTATTTCGCTGCGCTTCGTTAGCGCTTCAATTGCGTTTCATTTATTATTCCTTTTTTCCTTTCCGTTGGTAGATGTTTCCCCCTGTGGCTCATTCACGCCCTGCGAGCCCACCGAGTGGAGGTATCCCCCGTCCAACTGGCAGCCTACTCGGGTGGGAACTCCCTCGAACAGCCAAGGAAGGTATCTACAAAGCTTAGCCAATAAAAATAATTACCATTGCATGGTGGAAAAAAAAAAAAAAAAAAAAAAAAAAAACAGCCTATGCTTCCATTCCCTCAATATATGAAAGCAAAATGAGGGGCAAAAGGAAAAGGCGAGAAAAGTTGACCTACAAGAACGAGCGAACAGAACACGTCACCCACTTTATACAAGTTATTTTTATTATTTATATTTTTTTTTTTTTCACACCAAGTGAACAGTGTATTTATACACTTGGAGAAGCGAACTACATGGGTAGGAATTAACCTCCCGCCTTGCGGATTCACCTAAAACGGGGGAGGAGAGGCTAAATTTTGTTTTCCCCCCCTCTTGGAGGGAGTCAACCGCGCTGTCACCTCAGCGCGCCCGCGGCAGTGCATTTTGGCCTGCCGGGTTAGGCGCGCCCATCAGCCCATGTGCTGTGTTGCAAAAAGATATTTCTCGCGTCTGTGCATGCTTTATGCGAACAGGTTGGAATTTTCTCCATCCGGAAAAAAAAAAAAAAAATAAACAAAAATGAACAAACAGGTGAATAAAAGAGTGTACAGGTGACTTTTTTTTTTTTTTTTTTTTTTTTTTTTTTTTTTTTTTTTT